CTGCATCTATGGCAAGCATCCTCAGAGGTAGTGAGGTCTGTTGGAACTAGGAAAATGGGTTTATATATCTGTGGAATGACCAAGGTGGGACAAAGAACTCTTATCTGCTGGAGCTAGGTGTGAATGTTTCAACTGACCATCTTGATTAGCGTTTGATGGCCTGGCAGTGCCTGGAGCAATGTAGCAACAATGGTTTCAATGGTAAAGAACAATTCAAAACAAAAATAATTCCACAATAATATTAGTATTGTTTCACAAACCAAACTGGGTTCTAATTGTGACTATACTCTAACTCTAAGCAAGGTCTACATCAATGTTCAAAGGAAAATAGTACACATGTCCACTAATTGCAAACACAACAACAAGAATCCCGAGTACACTCTTCTTGTTTCGGGAATCCTTCTTCAGGTTGTGAGTGGTCTTTTGGCATGAATTTTCTTCCTATATTCCGTGGACGCAATGTCTCAGTCCTGCTCAAGTTCTAAGTGGTATCGTATATTATCCTGTGGCTCAAATCAAGCTCTATTGCATCTTTTTCTTGCAAGTACAGTGTCCTTAAGTGTCTTATTGCACGTGTTCAGTCCTGTTACAATTCCAGGCTTGAACATTGATGTAGACCTTGCTTAGAGTTAGAGTGTAGTCACAATTAGAACCCAGTTTGGTTTGTGAAACAATACTAATATTATTGTGGAATTAGTTTTGTTTTGAATTGTTCTTTACCATTGAAACCATTGTTGCTACATTGTTACATACATAGATATCAGTGCCTGGGGCAATCTTTTGTTGAGAGGTGATTAGATGTCCTTGTTTGTTTCCTCTCTTCAACTTGGTGAGCTTTATTTGGGAACGTTTGGGCTTCTTCTCTCACCAGGCACATGGACTCACAAGGCAACCTGCGGCATCCGCTTATCAGGACTCGGTATCCGCGGTTCAGGTTTCGTTATCCACAGCTCGGATCTCACTATCCATGGCTGTTGTAAATTGTCCTATTTCAAAGAGAGAAGAAGGGCATGGCAGGTACCGGTAGCCGCTTATTGGGACTCGGTATCCGCGGTTCAGGTTTCGCTATCCACAGCTCGGATCTCACTATCCATGGCTGTTGTAAATTGTTCTATTTCAAAGAGAGAAGAAGGGCATGGCAGGTACCGGTAGCCGCTTATTGGGACTCGGTATCCGCGGTTCAGGTTTCGCTATCCACAGCTCGGATCTCACTATCCATGGCTGTTGTAAATTGTTCTATTTCAAAGAGAGAGGAAGGGCACGGCAGGTACCGGTAACCGCTTATCGGGACTCGGTATCCACGGTTCAGGTTTCGCTATCCACAGCTCAGATCTCACTATCCATGGCTGTTGTAAATTGTGCCATTTCAAAGAGAGAGGAAGGGCACGGCTCGTACGGGTAGCCGCTTATCGGGACTCGGTATCCGCGGTTCAGGTTTCGCTATCCACAGCTCGGATCTCACTATCCATGGCTGTTGTAAATTGTTCTATTTCAAAGAGAGAGGAAGGGCACGGCAGGTACCGGTAGCAACTTATCGGGACTCGGTATCCGCAGTTCAGGTTTCGCTATCCACAGCTCAGATCTCATTATCCATGGCTGTTGTAAATTGCTCCATTTCAAAGAGAGAGGAAGGGCACGGCTCGTACGGGTAGCCGCTTATCGGGACTCGGTATCCGCGGTTCGGGTTTCGCTATCCACAACTCGGATCTCACTATCCATGGCTGTTGTAAATTGTTCTATTTCAAAGAGAGAGGAAGGGCACGGCAGGTACCGGTAGCAACTTATCGGGACTCGGTATCCGCAGTTCAGGTTTCGCTATCCACAGCTCAGATCTCATTATCCATGGCTGTTGTAAATTGCTCCATTTCAAAGAGAGAGGAAGGGCACGGCTCGTACGGGTAGCCGCTTATCGGGACTCGGTATCCGCGGTTCGGGTTTCGCTATCCACAACTCGGATCTCACTATCCATGGCTGTTGTAAATTGTTCTATTTCAAAGAGTGAGGAAGGGCACGGCAGGTACCGGTAGCTGCTTATCGGGACTCGGTATCCACGGTTCAGGTTTCGCTATCCACACTCGGATCTCACTATCAATGGCTGTCGTAAATTGTTCTATTTCAAAGAGAGAGGAAGGTACGGCAGGTACGGGTAGCTGCTTATCGGGACACGGTATCCACGGTTTGGGTTTCGCTATCCACAACTCGGATCTCACTATCCATGGCTGTTGTAAATTGTTCTATTTCAAAGAGAGAGGAAGGGCACGGCAGGTACCGGTAGCAACTTATCGGGACTCGGTATCCGCAGTTCAGGTTTCGCTATCCACAGCTCAGATCTCATTATCCATGGCTGTTGTAAATTGCTCCATTTCAAAGAGAGAGGAAGGGCACGGCTCGTACGGGTAGCCGCTTATCGGGACTCGGTATCCGCGGTTCGGGTTTCGCTATCCACAACTCGGATCTCACTATCCATGGCTGTTGTAAATTGTTCTATTTCAAAGAGTGAGGAAGGGCACGGCAGGTACCGGTAGCTGCTTATCGGGACTCGGTATCCACGGTTCAGGTTTCGCTATCCACAACTCGGATCTCACTATCAATGGCTGTCGTAAATTGTTCTATTTCAAAGAGAGAGGAAGGTACGGCAGGTACGGGTAGCTGCTTATCGGGACACGGTATCCACGGTTTGGGTTTCGCTATCCACAACTCGGATCTCACTATCCATGGCTGTTGTAAATTGTTCTATTTCAAAGAGAGAGGAAGGGCACGGCAGGTACCGGTAGCAACTTATCGGGACTCGGTATCCGCAGTTCAGGTTTCGCTATCCACAGCTCAGATCTCATTATCCATGGCTGTTGTAAATTGCTCCATTTCAAAGAGAGAGGAAGGGCACGGCAGGTACCGGTAGCCGCTTATCAGGACTCGGTATCCGCGGTTCTGGTTTCGCTATCCACAACTCGGATCTCACTATCCGCGGCTGTTGTAAATTGCTCTATTTCAAAAAGAGAGGAAGGACATCTTGATGGGAAGGAAGGAAAATCCACTGGCGGTGTGGGAAATGGGGGATTTCTGAACTGGGCAAAGCTGGATATTGCGGGATAAATCCTTCCCGTAGCTATATAACTCTTATCAGCTCAGCTGCACCCCTTCCTTATGTTCCTTGCTCACACAACAGAGCTTTGGGGACATATATATATATATATATATATATATATGAAAGCTGCTCCTTTAGTTATCCATTTACTCCTTTTCTCATACCACGCCTCATGCCTTGACTTCTGAACACTAATAATAATCATAATAAAAAATCTGCCCAAATCACAACACCTCGTTGGGCATAAAAGCCTTTCCAAACAATATTAAAACAGCGAGTCCAAATCTTGTAATCTTTTATCTAAATAGAGAAGGCAGGACATATATTTACTGGTCAAGAAGCACAAAAGCCTTGCTCGCAGGTCACTCAAGATTGTTCACCGTTGTTTGTAGATCTCATAGAGATAAGGAAATGGGTTTTTTTTTTCTTACCTCTGCTTTCAATTTAGTGCAAAGTCCAATAGAACGTGCTCCAAGCAACATTTCTCTTTGCCCATAAGGCTGGGGTTTTACTTCTTTGCCTGCAAACCTTTAGAGCGAAAGCCGTAAACGCCTTCCATACAGTGTAGGTTTGTGCACTCGGGGCAAACCTTGACCTGTTTCATGTTTTCACTCTGGGGATCTGAAAGATCCATCTTCTATTGGCCCATTATGGGTTTCCAAGGCTCCTTTTCCCATCATTTTAGGTATTTAAGCTGGTTTACTCTAGAGGAGAGGCACTCAGCTGCAGGGAGGCGCACACTTTAAAGAGGCTTCTTACCTGTTCTGCTCTAGAGGAGAGGCACTTGGCTGCAGGAAGGTGTGCACTTTAAAGAGGCTTCTTACCTGTTCTACTCTAGAGGAGAGGCACTTGGCTGCAGGAAGGTGTGCACTTTAAAGAGGCTTCTTACCTGTTCTGCTCTAGAGGAGATGCACTCAGCTGCAGGGAGGCGCACACTTTAAGGAGGCTTCTTACCTGTTCTACTCTAGAGGAGAGGCACTTGGCTGCAGGAAGGTGTGCACTTTAAAGAGGCTTCTTACCTGTTCTGCTCTAGAGGAGAGGCACTTGGCTGCAGGAAGGTGTGCACTTTAAAGAGGCTTCTTACCTGTTCTACTCTAGAGGAGAGGCTGCAGGAAGGCACACACTTTAAGGAAGCTTCTTACCTGTTCTACTCTACAGGAGGGGCGCTTGGCTGCAGGGAGGCACACACTTTAAAGAGGGTTCTTACCTGTTCTACTCTAGAGGAGAGGCGCTTGACTGCAGGAAGGTGTGCACTTTAAAGAAGCTTCTTACCTGTTCTACTGTAGAGTAGAGGCACTTGGCTGCAGGGAGACACATACTTTAAGGGGGCTTCTTACCTGTTCTACTCTAGAGGAGGGGCATTTGGCTGCAGGGAGGCACACACGTTAAAGAGGTTTATTACCTGTTCTTCTCTAGAGGAGAGGCACTTGGCTGCAGGCAGGTGCATGTGCTTTCTGGTCCTGCGTGCCACACACATGCTCTCTTTTTCCAAGGCAAGTTCTGACTTTTTTTACTCTAGAGGAGGCACCTGGCTGCAGGCAGGCACACATGCTGGGCCTGCATGCCACACATGCACTCTCTCAAGGCAAGGAGGCAAATTCTGGCTTTCTTACTCTAGAGGAGGCACTCGGCTGCAGGCAGGCACATGCACTGGGCCTGCACACTACACATGCACCCTCTCTTTCCAAGGCAAGGAGGCATGGAGCACCATGTGCTCACGAGAGCCAATGATCCGCTCCCGCTTGCTTTCGTGTTGAGAGGGGCGACCCGTTACTTGCTCCTGAAGGTAACAAATGTAACGAAAGAACAGATGTAATGAAGGGAATCAGACCTACACACAACTCTAGTACAGTGTGTCTTATGCTAACGGTTGTCGTAAATTGCTGAGCAAAGTCAATATCTGCCTCCTTTACAGCTTGCCAAGAAGTACGGGCCAGTGTTCACCCTCCATTTCGGATTCCAGAAAGTGGTGGTCCTGACCGGCTATGAAGCGGTGAAGGATGCTCTTGTCAACTTCGCGGAGGAGTTCGTAGACAGGCCGGTGATACCGATATTTCAACAGATCCAGGGCGGAAAGGGTAAATGAGGGAACGGGTTCGGTCCCAAGTCCGAAAACGTTGACAAAGCCCACTCCAAAGACTCAATTGCCCTCAAATTGTCCCAACTAATTCTGCTTTCTGTGGGGCTCAAATCATTTGAAGGACTTAGGGATCCCTGGGCTGCATCCACACTGTCAAATTAATGCAGATTGGCACCAGTTTTACTGCCCCGGCTGGATGCGTTGGAATAATAAGAGTGTGGTGCGGCACCAGCAGAGAAGGCTACTAGACTACAACTCCCATGAGTCAGGATAGTTCGAGGGATGTCAAACTGCATTAATTTTACAGTGTAGATCAGTCATGGGCAAACTTGGGTCCTCCCTCCAAGTGTTTTGGACTTCAACTCCCACAATTCCTAATGGTCTCAGGCCCATTCCTTTCCCCCCTCAGCCAAATAAGCAGAAAAGGAAAAGAAAGGGGTCTGAGGTTGTTGGGAATTGTGGGAGTTGAAGTCCAAAACACTTGGAGAGAGGGCCAAAGTTTGCCCATGCCTGGTATAGATGCATTCAATCCATTCAAAGCCTTCTTTGCTTATATCTCCTGGTTTGCACGAGAACGAAAGTCCATCTGTTTACATTTGGAAGTAGAGGGAGAAGCCACCCTTCCTTAACCATAAACCATTGAAATTGGGTTCCGTCTGTTCCTCAACAACAGGGATCTTCTTCTCAACCGGAGAGCTATGGAGGGCAACCCGGAGGTTCAGTGCCTCCAGCATGCGCAACCTTGGAATGGGGAAGACGCGCATGGAGGAGCACATTCGGGAGGAACTCAACTTTCTTGTGGAGGACATCAAGTCATTCAATGGTAAGCTGGGAAACCAGGTATGTCAGGGCAATCCCTATACTGCTGCCAGGTATGCCGGCCACCTGACCATTTGTTTCAAAGGAAAGTCCACTAGTTAACACGCATGTTAGCCTTGTTTCTGAGTTAAACTACTTCCAGCCGTCATGCATAACCATCATGGTTGGAAAAAGGGTCTTGTAGGTCATTTCAGCCTCTTTTCAAGCATGGAGAGGCATGGAGCTCAGCACATGAGCTAAACTATTTCCAGCAATCACGCATAGCCCTCCGTGGTTGGAAGGAGGCAGAAGTGTCCTGAAAGGAGGGAACTCTGCAATAGACCTCATCACATTGAGAAATTTCTCAGTTGTAGCACACTTCAGTCTCTTTTCAAGAATGGAGAGGCATTGAGCTCATCACATGAGTTAAACTACTTCCGGCCGTCATGCATAGCCCTCCGTGGTTGGAAAGAGGCAGAAGTGTCCTGGAAGGAGGGAACACTGCAATAGACTTCATCACATTGAGAAATGTCTCAGTTGTAGGACACTTCAGCTTCTTTTCAAGAATGGAGAGGCACGGAGCTCGTCACATGAGGTAAACTACTTCCAGCCATTATGCATAGTGCTCCGTGGTTGGAAAGAGGCAGAAGTGTCCTGGAAGGAGGGAATACTGCAATAGACCTCATCACATTGAGAAATATCTCAGTTGTAACACACTTCAACCTCTTTTCAAGAATTGAGAGGAACAGAGCTCATCACATGAGTTAAACTACTTCCGGCCGTTATGCATAGTGTTCCATGGTTGGAAAAAGGCAGAAGTGTCCTGAAAGGAGGGAACTCCTCAATAGACATCATCACATTGAGAAATGTCTCAGTTGTAGGACACTTCAGCTTCTTTTCAAGCATGGAGAGGCACGGAGCTCATCACATGAGTTAAACTACTTCCGGCTGTTATGCATAGCGCTCCGTGGTTGGAAAGAGACAGAAGTGTCCTGAAAGGAGGGAATTCCGCAATAGACCTCGTCACATTGAGAAATGTCTCAGTTGTAACACACTCCAGCCTCTTTTCAAGCATGGAGAAGCATGGACCTAATCACATGAGTTAAACTACTTCCGGCCGTCATGCATAGCCCTCCGTGGTTGGAAAGAGGCAGAAGTGTCCTGAAAGAAGGGAACTCTGCAATAGACCTCATCACATTGGGAAATGTCTCAGTTGTAACACACTTCAGCCTCTTTTCAAGCATGGAGAGGCATGGGGTTCATCACATGAGTTAAACTACTTCTGGCCGTTATGCATAGTGCTCTGTGGTTGGAAAGAGGCAGAAATGTCCTGAAAGGAGGGAACTCAGCAATAGACCTCATCACATTGAGAAATTTCTCAATTGTAACACACTTCAGCCTCTTTTCAAGAATGGAGAGGCACAGAGCTCATCACATGAGTTAAACTACTTCCGGCCATCATGCATAGCCCTCCGTAGTTGGAAAGAGGCAGAAGTGTCCTGGAAGGAGGGAACACTGCAATAGACCTCATCACATTGGGAAATGTCTCAGTTGTAGGCCACTTCAGCCTCTTTTCGAGAATGAAGAGGCATGGAGCTCCTCAAATGAGCTAAACTACTTCCAGCCATTATGCACAGCCCTCTGTGATTGGAAAGAGGCAGAAGTGTCCTGAAAGCAGGGAATTACAGCAATCCACTGCATCACATTGAGAAATGTCTCAGTTGTAACACACTTCAGCCTCTTTTCAAGAATGGAGAGGAACGAAGCTCATCACATGAGTTAAACTACTTCTGGCCGTTATTCATAGTGCTCTGTGGTTGGAAAGAGGCAGAAATGTCCTGAAAGGAGGGAACTCAGCAATAGACCTCATCACATTGAGAAATGTCTCAGTTGTAACACACTTCAGCCTCTTTTCAAGAATGGAGAGGCACGGAGCTCATCACATGAGTTAAACTACTTCCGGCTGTCATGCATAGCCCTCCGTAGTTGGAAAGAGGCAGAAGTGTCCTGGAAGGAGGGAATTCTGCAATAGACTTCATCACATTGAGAAATATCTCAGTTGTAACACACTTCAGCCTCTTTTCAAGAATGGAGAGGAACGAAGCTCATCACATGAGTTAAACTACTTCCGGCCGTTATGCATAGTGCTCCGTGGTTGGAAAGAGACAGAAGTGTCCTGAAAGGAGGGAATTCCGCAATAGACCTCGTCACATTGAGAAATGTCTCAGTTGTAGCACACTCCAGCCTCTTTTCAAGCATGGAGAAGCATGGACCTAATCACATGAGTTAAACTACTTCCGGCCGTCATGCATAGCCCTCCGTGGTTGGAAAGAGGCAGAAGTGTCCTGAAAGGAGGGAACTCCACAATAGACCTCATCACATTGAGAAATGTCTTAGTTGTAACACACTTCAGTCTCTTTTCAAGAATGGAGAGGCATGGAGCTCATCACATGAGTCAAACTACTTCTGGCCACTATGCATAGCACTCCGTGGTTGGAAAGAGACAGAAGTGTCCTGAAAGGAGGGAATTCTGCAATAGACCTCGTTACATTGAGAAATGTCTCAGTTGTAGCACACTTCAGCCTCTTTTCAAGCATGGAGAGACACGGAGCTCATCACGAGTTGAACTACTTCCGGCCGTCATGCATAGCCCTCTCTTGGTTTTTGAATATGTTGTTTCTCCTCATTTAAAAAAAGAAGTAATACTGGCTGTGTGATGAATGCAAGATGAACATATTGCCAACTCTTAAGTTTCCGCTATTATTAAGAAGACTTGCTTGAGATCTGTTTGCTGACCTCCTTTCTGACATTTCCTCCCTGAAGGTGAACCTTTCAGTCTCAGACACTTTAACCTCGCGCCGACCAACATCACGTTTGTTCTTCTCTTTGGGGAGAGGTTCGACTACAAAGACCCAATGTTCCTCACTCTACTACAACTCATCGACGATGTGATGTGTCTCCTGGGATCTCCATTCTTGCATGTAAGCACATTTCCCCCCATGGAGCACAGGGTGGAGCGTGAGCCCCATTTGACGGTGGATATTCCGCTCTTAGAAAGGCTCTCCCATCCACAACATGATTCTTCATCGCAACTCATATTTTCCTCTCTTCCTCTCTTTTATTTTTCGTTCCTAACTAGCTGTTTAACTTCTACCCATTCCTTGGGATTTTTCTCAAGACGCACAAAAAGTTGCTCAAAAAAGTGGAAGACATCCGCGTCATCATACGGGATTACATTAAGAAAAGCAGGGAAGAAGAAGAAGACAATGGCAAGAGCCTCAGGAGCTACACCGATGCCTTGGTCTCCAAGCAGAAAGAGGTCAGTGCTTATATGATATTTATTTATTTATTTATCATGTCAGGAGCAACCAGACCATTGTATTACATTTCTAACAGAACAAAACAAACAGATAAAAAAAACCCCACAAAGTTTGCAAGCTTGGTAGTTGATTAAATGTCCTTTGACCAGTATCTGGCCCTTTGGAGTGCCTCTGGTGTTGCCGCAAGAAGGTCCTCCATTGTGCATCATGTGGCAGGGCTCAGGGTGCATTGCAGCAGGTGGACAGTGGTTTGCTCCTCTCCACACTTGCATGTCGTGGATTCCACTTTGTAGCCCCATTTCTGAAGGTTGGCTCTGCATCTCGTGGTGACAGAGCACAGTCTCTTCAGCTCCCTCCAAGTCGCCCAGTCTTCTGTGTGCTCAAGGGGTATCAACCATGGATTGATGTTCTGGGTTTGAGCCTGCCACTTTTGGACTCTCGCTTGATTTAAGTCGTTGACGTGCTGACTGATACCCAGAGGCAACCCTAGGTAGTTTTCAATGGTAAGCAAACAGTATTTTGCCCCCCACCAATCATTGATATGGAGCAGGAACGAGAGGGGCTAGGTGAGGCTCAAGGGCCCGGCCTCTTTGGGAAGAGGATTGCCCAGCAGTGAGGCAAGGAAGCCAAGGATCCCCCCGGACTGCTAGGGCTGTTGTGAGCCGAGGGAGCACTCCTCAAGTGGTGGTCGAGGGGCATTTACAGAGGCGCATCTGCGCCCCTGGCAAAAAAAAAGTGTACTGCAACTGCTTACTTTGTGTAATGGATGAGCCACCCCTGCTGACATCCAAACAAGCTGGAGATGTCACTTCCTTGGTCCTTTCACTATTGGCTGCTACTTCCCGGCGGATGTCAGGTAGTGCAATACCAGCTAGACAGTGTAATTTCTCCAGTGGTGCAGGGGGCAGACACCCTGTGATAATGCGGCATGTCTCATTAAGAGCCACATGCACTGTTTTGGCGTGGTGAGATGTGTTCCACACTGGGCATGCATACTCAGCAGCAGAGTAGCACAGCGCAAGGGCAGATGTCTTCACTGTGTCTGGTTGTGATCCCCAGGTTGTGCCAGTCAGCTTTCGTATGATATTGTTTCTAGCACCCACTTTTTGCTTGATGTTCAGGCAGTGCTTCTTGTAGGTAAGAGCATGTCCAGAGTGACTCCCAGGGATTTGGGTGTGCTGCAATGCTCCAGTGGGATTCTTTCCCAGGTGATCCTCAGAACTTGGGATGCTTGTCTGTTCTTAAGGTGAAAGCCACATGTCTGTGTTTTAGATGGGTTAGGGATCAGCTGGTTTTTCCTGTCATAGGCAGTAAGAACACCTAGAGTTTTGGAGAGCTTCTGTTCAACCATCTCAAAGCTCCCTGCTTGGGCGGTGATGGCACGATCATCAGCATAGATGAAACTCTCTGTCCCTTCTGCCAGTGGCTGGTCATTTGTGTAGATGTTGAACATGGATGGGGCAAGCATGCTCCCCTGCGGCAGGCCATTCTTCTGTTTCCGCCATCTGCTTCTTTGGCCCTGCAACTCAACAAAAAAGCTCCTGTTTTGTAGCAGGTTTCCTATGAGGCGGGTGAGGTGGTCGTCCTTTGTGATATTATACATTTTTCTCAAGAGGAATCCATGGTTTACAGTATCATAATTCACTGACAGGTCTATGAAGACAGCTCCTGTGATCTGCTGCCTTTCAAAGCCATCTTCTATGTGCTCAGTCAGGTTCAACACTTGCACATCGCAAGTGTTTCTATGATGACACAAGACCATACGGTTAAGAGGAAACGTTGCAGGAGGAGAGCAAGTGTCCATCGAGCTCAGCATTCTCATTCTCACAACAGTCAGGCGGACAGTTGCTGATGATGATATTTTTGTATCTGTTTCTAATTGATATACTGTATAATATTGTGAGTGGACAACTGCTCACATCATGCGAGGTTAACCCCCTCAAACTCCATCAGTACTTAAAGTTGGTCATTTTTTGCATGTGTGCCAAGTTTGCTGCAGGTGCGTCATTTGTGGGGTCCAGGGTGCTCTCTGGATGTAGGGTGAACTACAACTCCCAACCTGATGGGTCATCCCCACCCCTAAGTCCCTCCAGTAGGTTCAATTGGTCATGGTGGCTCTGTGTGCCAAGTTTGGTCCTAGTCGATTGTTGATGGGAGTTGTTGTGGATATGGTTTCTCTGGATGTAGATGAACTACAACTCCCAACCTGATGGGTCATTCCCATTCCAACCATTCCCATTCCCACCATGACCAACTGAACCCTCCAATAGGTTCAGTTGGTCATGGTGGCTCTGTGTGCCAAGTTTGGTCCAAGTTCATTGTTGATGGGAGTTGTTGTGGATATGGTTTCTCTGGATGTAGGTGAACTACAACTCCCAACCTGATGGGTTATCCCCAACCCCAAACCCCTCCAGTAGGTTCAGTTGGTCATGGTGGCTCTGTGTGCAAAGTTTGGTGTTGGTCCATTGTTGGTGGGAGTTGTTGTGGATACAGTTTCTCTGGATGTAGGTGAACTACAACTCCCAGAAATCAAGGTCAACCCCTTTCACATCCCTTCAGTATTTTCTGTCAATCATGTGGGTTCAGTGTGCCAAGTTTGGTCCAGGTCCATCATTGGTGTCGTTCAGAGTGCTCTTTGATTTTAGGTGAACTATACATCCCAGCAACTATAACTCCCAAATGTCAGGGTCAATCACTCCTAAACCCCACCAGTATTCAAATTAAGGTATATCAGGTATGCATGCAAAGTTTTGTCCACATCCATCATCATTTGGGTTCACAATGCTCTCTGCATGTAGGTGAACTACAACTCCCCAAACTCAAGGTCAGTCCTATCCTCACATCATCCAAACCCCTCCAGTATTTTATGTCGGTATTTCAGTGTGCCAAGTTTGGTCCAGGTCTATCATTGGTAAGGTTTAGAGTGCTCTTTGAGTGTAGGTGAACTATAAATCCCAACAACTATAATTAAAAATGTCAAGGTCAATTCCACCCAAACCCCAACAGTAGTCAAATTTAAGTATATTGGATATGCTTGCCAAGTTTGGTCCAGGTCCATCATTGGTTTGATTCAGAGTGCTTTTTGATTGTAGGTGAACTATAAATCCCAGTGACTACAATTAAGAAATATCAAGGTCTATTCCACCCAAACCCCAACAATAGTAAATGTGGGTATATCGGGTATGCATGCCAAATTTGGCCCACACTCATCATTGTTTGGTTCACAGTGTTCTCCAAATGTAGGTAAACTACAACTCCCCAAACTCAAGGTCATCTCTTCAGTATGTTCAGTTGGTCATGGGGCTTCTGTGTGTCGAGTTTCACCCAGATTTGTCATCAGTGAAGGTCATAGTTGTCTCTAGAAGTGAGAGCCCATAGGAAATTGGCCACAAAAAGACATATCTGCCCACATACATACATACATACATACATACAAGGGTTGAATGAAAAGTAATCCTCCATCTTCATAACTCCTCCACAGATGGTAGCACTGGTATGCAGCAGGTACTGGCTTGTTCAGTAGACTCTCCTCTACAGTTCCATTTTGGCGGGAAGACTTGACATTGAATGGTTGTGTTGTTAAAGTGCAAAGTATGGAACCCTGCACAGAAGGTCGGTCAATGCGACTTAAGCAACGTTCAGTCATCGAATCCTTGAGAGCAGAAGGTGTCAGCTCAACATCTTTAAACTTACTCACCCAACGACACACAGTACTCACATCAACACAATCACCATAAACAGTTTGCATTCTCCTTTGGGGTGACACCTTCAATGACTGCATGTTGTTTAAGTTGCATTGACTGACCATCTGCACAGGGTTCCATACTTTGCACTTTAACAACACAACTGTTCAATGCTAAGGCTTCCCGCCCAAATGGAACTGTAGAGGAGAGTCTACTGAACAAGCCAGTGCCTGCCACATACCAGGACTGCCATCTGTTGAGGAGTTACGAAAGTGGAGGCAGTACTTTTTCTGCTAAGTCTTCCTGCCAAAATGGAACTGTAGAGGAGAGTCTACTGAACAGGCCAGTACCTGCCGCATTCGTTGCTTAAGTTGCATTGACCGACCGTCTCCGCAGGTTTCCATACTTTGCACTTTAACAACACAACCGTTCAATGCTAAGGCTTCCCGCCAAAATGGAACTGTAGAGGAGAGTCTACTGAACAAGCCAGTACCTGCTGCATTTGTTGCTTAAATCCCATTGATCGACCATTTGCGCAGAGTTCCATACTTTGCACTTTAACAACACAAGTGTTCAATGCTAAGGCTTCCCGCCCAAATGGAACTGTGGAGGAGAGTCTACTGAACAAGCCAGGACCTGCTGCATTTGTTGCTTAAGTCACATTGACTGACCGTCTGTGCAGGGTTCCACACTTTGCACTTTAACAACACAAGTGTTTCAATGCTAAGGCTTCCCGCCAAAATGGAACTGTAGAGGAGAGTCTACTGAACAAGCCAGTACCTGCCACATACCAGTACTGCCATCTGTTGAGGAGTTACGAAGTGGAGGCAGTACTTTTTCTGCTAAGTCTTCCCACCAAAATGGAACTGTAGAGGAGAGTCTACTGAACAAGCCAGTACCTGCCGCATTCATTGCTTAAGTTGCATTGACCGACCGTCTCCGCAGGTTTCCATACTTTGCACTTTAACAACACAACCGTTCAATGCTAAGGCTTCCCGCCAAAATGGAACTGTAGAGGAGAGTCTACTGAACAAGCCAGGACCTGCTGCATTTGTTGCTTAAATCCCATTGATCGACCATTTGCGCAGAGTTCCATACTTTGCACTTTAACAACACAAGTGTTCAATGCTAAGGCTTCCCGCCCAAATGGAACTGTGGAAGAGAGTCTACTGAACAAGCCAGTACCTGCTGCATTCATTGCTTAAGTCACATTGACTGGCCGTCTGTGCAGGGTTCCACACTTTGCACTTTAGCAACACAACCCTTCAAAGCTAAGGCTTCCTACCAAAATGGAACTGTGGAGGAGAGGCTACTGAACAAGCCAGTACCTGCCACATTCGTTGCTTAAGTCACATTGAGCCATCAAGATAGATGGAGACGAGCCTCTTGGCTGCCATGCCCTTTTGGGTGTCAAAGCCTGGAAGATCCCAACCCAAGGCACCGCCAACACGAGGCAAGGTTTTCCCATTCTTTCGCCACATCGTTTGCACAGACAACGCAGTGGAGATGGGTTGCAGATAACGTTCCAGACAGAGAGGGAAAAGGAGGTGTTCGTAATATTAAGCAAGGGAACGCTCTTATCTCCAGTCAGCTGCTGATCCAAGATAAGAGCTCTTCCTTGCCCGGGCCCATTGTTCATAAGCCATATCCAGTCTGGAAATTCGTAGTTCTTCATGCCAGCCTTGATGCACTTTTTCCAAAAGTTATCTAACATTATGGACATCTCCGTTGTTGCACAACAATGGGAACTCCAAAGTTAATCCAGATATCAATAAGAGCCTCCTCCTTCCACTGGTGTAAATGTAACCTCAGCCAGTTCTGTCCCTCAAAGAGCAAATGAGGAACTTTGGTCCTTAAGATCTTCTGAACTCTTGAAATTAGAATCATAGAATCCTAGAACCCTAGAGTTGGAAGAGATCTCATGGGCCATCATCCAGTCCAACCCCATTCTGCCAAGAAGCAGGAAAATTGCATTCAAAGCACCCCTGACAGATGGCCATCCAGGCTCTCCTTCAAAGCCTCCAAAGAAGGAGCCTCCACCACACTCTGGGGCAGGGAGTTCCACTGCTGAACGGCTCTCACAGTCAGGAAGTTCTTCCCATTGTTCAATATGGAATCTCACATAGAGTCCTAGAGTTCAGAGAGACCTGGTGGACCATCCAGTCCAACCTTATTCTGCCAAGAAGCAGGAAAATAGCGTTCAAAGCACCTCCGACAGATGGCCATCCTGCCTCTGCTTCAAAGCCTCCAAAGAAGGAGCCTCCACCACAATCCGGGACAGAGAGTTCCACTGCTGAACAGTTCTAACATAGAATCCTAGAGTTCAAAGAGACCTGGTGGACCATCCAGTCCAACCCATTCTGCCAAGAAGCAGGAAAATTGCATTCAAAGCACCCCTGACAGATGGCCATCCAGCCTCTGCTTCAAAGCTTCCAAAGAAGGAGCCTCCACCACACTCCAGGGCAGAGAGTTCCACTGCTGAACAGGCTCTCACAGTCAGGAAATTCTTCCTCATGTTCAGGTGGAATCTCCTTTTCTGTAGTTTGAAGCCATTGCTCCATTGCATTCTAGTCTCCAGGGAAGCAGAAAGGAAGCTTGCTCCCTCCTCTCTAGGACTTCCTCTCACCTATCTATCTATCTATCTATCTATCTATCTATCTATCTATCTATCTATTTATTAGCATATAATGGCTTGACAGTGCCTGGGGCAAACTTTTGTTGAGAGGTGATTAGATGTCCTTGTTTGTTTCCTCTCTGTTGTTGTGCTGTTGTAATTTTAGAGTTTTTAAATCCTGGTAGCCAGATTTTGTTCATTTTCATGGTTTCCTCCTTTCTGTTGAAGTTGTCCACTATCTAATCACCTCTCAACAAAAGTTTGCTCTAGGCACTGCCAGGCAATCAAATGCTAATCAAGGTGGTCAGTTGAAACATTCACACCTAGCTCCAGCAGACAAGAGTCCTTTGTCCCACCCTGGTCATTCCACAGATATATAAACCCTTTTTCTAGTTCCAACAGACCTCACTACCTCTGAGGATGCTTGCCATAGATGCAGGCAAAACGTCAGAAGAGAATGCCTCTAGACCATGGCCATACAGCCCGAAAAATCCTACAACAACCCAGTGATTCCGGCCATGAAAGCCTTCGACAATTATTGTTATTGTTATTCTTATATTATTAAGTTGTTGTTGTTATCATCATAATCACACCATGACCACAGAAACCATATCCTTGATTTCACCTTCCCAAATTTGTGCACCTCTATGGTATGTTAGGACCAGCAGTCAGTTAATTTAATGGCCTCCAGTTGTATCTCTGGGATCAGGTAACTGGGAACATGTTCCCTATAGATATGAGGTGTGCCTTGCTGTCATTGTGATAATTATACCTGTATTGAAGTTTTCGTTTAGCTTTTAATTGGTATCATTTTAAGTATGGGTTGTTGTAGGTTTTTTGGGCCATATGGCCATATTCTAGGGCAGTGTTTCTCAACCTGGGGGTCAGGACCCCTGTGGGGGTCGCGAGGGGGTGTCAGAGGGGTCGCCAAAGACCATCAGAAAACATAGTATTTTCTGTTGGTTATGGGGGTTCTGTGTGGAAAGTTTGGTCCAATTCTATCGTTGGTGGGGTTGAGAATGCTATTTCATTGTGGGTGAACTATACATCCCAACAACTACAACTCCCAAATGGCAAGGTATATTATCTCCAAACTCTAGCAGTGTTCACATTTGGGCATATTGAGTATTTGTGCCAAGTCTGATCCATATCCATCATTGCTTGAGTCCACAGTGTTCTCTGGATGTAGGTGAACTACAACTCCAAAAACTCAAGGTCAATGTCCACCAGACCTTCCCAGTATTTTCTCTTGGTCATGGGAATTCTGTGTGCCATGTTTGATTCAATTCCAACATTGATGGAGTTCAGAAGGCTCTTTGATTTAAGGTGAACTATAAATTCCAGCAACTTCAGCATTACCAAATGACAAAATCGATCACCCCCAATTCCACCAGTATTCAAATTTTGGGCCTATCAGGTATTTGTGCTAAATTTGGTCCAGTGAATGAAAATACATCCTGCATATTTACATTATGACTCTGAACAGTAGCAAAATTACAGTTATGAAGTAGCAACGAAAATAACGTTATGGTTGGGGGTCACTACAACATGAGGACGTGTACTAAGGGGTTGCGGCATTAGGAAGGTTGAGAACCACTGTTTTAGGGCTATATGGCCATGTTCATTTTAAGGATGTTGTTGGAAGATTGGTGAGACGTGAATTATGATGATAATGATTTCTGCCATGCTTCCTACTTCAGGAAATGGGCAAGAAGGACAACCTCTTTCATGAGGACAACGTGGTAGCATCCATCCTCGATCTTGTAATGGCTGGAACAGAGACGGCGGCAACTACAATGCAATGGGTGGTTCTCCTGATGATGAAGTACCCAAAGATTCAAAGTGAGCTTTCTCATTTTACCTTGATGACCCATTTTACCTTTGAAGAGAACTGGGTAGAAGTTGGATCAAGTTCTAGTGGTGCTTCTCTGAGTGAATTAATGCAGCCTCTGAGTGATTAGTTGCAGAGCAGCAGGCATTTCTCCTTCTCAGTTGTCTACAACCTTTCTGTGAATTGGACCGTGAATTCAAACTTTCAAAGAGCTGTCCAGAGTGCTGAAACTAGTGTTAGGACAGAGTTCAATACCATGGAAAGCTCCCTTAAAAGGAAATGAGTCCTTTCGAGGGGGGAAGAGTTATACACTGATGAGAATTTCCAAGTTAGGAAATTGTTTTGAAGTTAAAGTTTTAAATTTGTGGGTTGCCTTATGGGGTCCTTTATGACCTAATAAGCAACTCACAAATGATTTCATCAATCAATCAAAACAGGCAAAGTGGTCTTGAAGTAGAATGGCTCCACTGGATAATCTTTCTTCCTTATTTATTTATTATTACTAGCTGTCCCCTGCTATGAGTTGCTGTGGCCTAATATGTATATATGTGTTTTGTGTGTATGTATATATGTGTTTATATGTGTGTGTATATTTGTGTATCTGTGTATATATGTGTGTTTGCATCTATCTATCTATCTGTCTATCTATTTTGTTGTTGTTCATTCGTTCAGTCGTCTCCGACTCTTCGTGACCTCATGGACCAGCCCACGCCAGAGCTCCCTGTTGGCCGTCACCACCCCCAGCTCCTTCAAGGTCAGTCCAGTCACTTCAAGGATGCCATCCATCCATCTTGCCCTTGGTCGGCCCCTCTTCCTTTTGCCTTCCACTTTCCCCAGCATCATTCCCTTCTCTAGGCTTCCCTGTCTCCTCATGATGTGGCCAAAGGACTTCAGCTTTCCCTCTAGTCTCCTTCCCTCCAGTGAGCAGTCGGGCTTTATTTCCTGGAGGATGGACTGGTTGGATCTTCTCGCAGTCCAAGGCACTCTCAGAACTTTCCTCCAACACCACAGCTCAAAAGCATCCATCTTCCTTCGCTCAGCCTTCCCTAAGGTCCAGCTCTCACATCCGTAGGTGACTACAGGGAATACCATGGCTTTGACTAGGCAATGGATCTTAGTTGCCAGTCTGATGTCTCTACTCTTCACTATTTCATCGAGATTGGACAACTATCTATCTATATCTGTCTATCTATATGGGTGTGTATATGCGTGTGCATATGTGTGTGTGTAGATGTGTATACATGTGTATATATTTGTGTGTTTATGTGTATATGTATATTGCGTATATGTGTGTGCTTGTTAATATGCATATTTGTGTTTATATATGTGTGCATGTGTATATTTGTGTGTGCATGTGTATATGTATATATGTGTGTGTGTGTGTGTAGATGTATGTGTGTGTGTATATTTGTGTGTGCTTCAATATATATATATATATATATATATATATATATATATATACTCGCATGTGTGTGTATGTGTGCATGTGTATATGTATATGTGTGTGTGTGTATATATATGGTGTATTTTTGGGGGTTTTGAGTCCATTTTTTGTATTTTTAGGGGTGATGAACACTCATTGGACTGTTAGGTGTATTGTGTCAAAATTTCATGTCAATTCGTCCAGTGGTTTCTGAGTTATGTTAATCCCCCAAACGAATATTACATTTTTATTTATATAGATTATTATTATTATTATTATTATTATTATTATTATTATTATTACTGTATTTGTATACCGCCTTTTGCAGCTTTTCGGGCGACTCAGGGCAGTTTAGAGATGCAACAATTCAATGTCCAAGAACATCATAAAACATTAAATATGATATAAAACCATAACAAGAGTAATAAAAACATAATCCCAAAGTCAGCTTTCTCCCAAGATTGTCTCTGTAGCAATTGGCAAACACCACAAGAGTAGTCCAAAGTCAGTCCAGGATCAAATCACCAGTCACTCTGCAAAACAAGGGATAAGCAGTAGAGCAAACCCTGAGTACATTTCCAAAGTTCCACCAAAACCAATATATCCTAACAAACACAGTACAAGGTATAATCTGAAATTCAATGCCAAAATCCTAGATACAGTGTACCACACAAGGTCCAAGGAATCACACAAGGTCTTGATGTCACAGCTCCAAAACAAAGACGTTGCTGCCAGCAACTGACTGCACCAAACACCAGCTATTTATGCTGTTTTTGAAGCTGTTTTCAATTGTTGGCCTCTTTTCTACCAAACGGATGGACCTGAGACCTTGTATTCCTTCTCTCTGCAGCTGCAACTAAGCTGGAACACTTAGAATCCTAGAATCCTAGAATCCTAGAAATGGAAGCGACCTCATGGGTCATCCAGTCCAAACCCATTCTGCCAAGAAGCAGGAATATTGCATTCCAATCACCCCTGACAGATGGCCATCCAGCCTCTGTTTAAAAGCTTCCAAAGAAGGAGCCTCCACCACACTCTGGCAGAGAGTTCCACTGCTGAATGACTCTCACAGTCAGGAAGTTCTTCCTCATGTTCAGGTGGAATCTCCTCTCTTGTAGTTTGAAGCCATTGTTCTGCATCCTAGTCTCCAAGGAAGCAGAAAACAAGCTTGCTCCCTCCTCCCTGTGGCTTCCTCTCACATATTTATACATGGCTATCATATCTCCTCTCAGCCTTCTCTTCTTCAGGCTAAACATGCCCAGCTCCTTAAGCCGCTCCTCATAGGGCTTGTTCTCCAGACCCTGGATCATTTTAGTCGCCCTCCTCTGGACACATTCCAGCTTGTCAATATCTCTCTTGAATTGTGGTGCCCAGAATTGGACACAATATTCCAGGTGTGGTCTAACCAAGGCAGAAGAGAGCATGGGGAGCATGACTTCCCTAGATCTAGACACTAGGCTCCTATTGATGCAGGCCAAAATCCCATTGGCTTTTTTTGCCACCACATCACATTCCTGGCTCATGTTTAACTTGTTGTCCACGAGGACTCCAAGATCTTTTTCACACGTACTGCTCTCGAGCCAGGCATTGTCCCCCATTCTGTATCTTTGCATTTTGTTTTTCCTGCCAAAGTGGAGTATCTTGCATTTGTCACTGTTGAACTTCATTTTGTTAGTTTTGGCCCATCTCTCTAATCTTTCAAGATCGTTTTGAATCCTGCTCCTGTCCTCTGGAGTATTGGCTATCCCTCCCAATTTGGTGTCGTCTGCAAACTTGATGATCCTGCCTTCTCGCCCTTCATCTAAGTCATTAATAAAGATGTTGAACAGGACTGGGCCCAGGAACGTAACCCTCTTCCTCATCCTCGCTGTCAGAACTGACCACAACAGACCCTGGTAGCTGTAGTCCTAAAGCAACCCCCTCCTAACTCTTCCTTGCTCTGTGTTTTGTTTCAGAGAAGGTTCAAGAGGAGATCAGGCAAACTGTGAAACCGGGCGGCTGGGTCACATACGAGGATCAGAAGCGCCTGCCATACACCAACGCCGTGATCCACGAAGTGCAGAGGTTCATCACTCTCCTGCCTCACATCCCACGTGCGACGTCAGTCGACACACATTTCAGGGGCTACTTTCTTCCAAAGGTACTTCCTTCCAAAAAGAATTGAACTCAAGATTATTGTCGAAGGCTTTCATGGCTGGAATCACTAGGTTCTTGTGGGTTTTTCGGGCTATAGGGCCATGTTCTAGAGGCATTTCTCCTGACGTTTCACCTGCATCTATGGCAAGCATCCTCAGAGGTAGTGAGGTCTATTGGAATTAGGAAAATGGGTTTATATATCTGTGGAATGGCTGGGGTGGGGCCAAGAGCTCTTCTCTGCTGGAGCTAGGTGTGAATGTTTCAACTGACCACCTTCATTAGCATTTGAAGGCCTGCCTGAGCCTGGGAAAATCTTTTGTTGAGAGGTGCATGTATACGGTAGACTCCTGCAGAAGTGAGAGGATCCCTCTTGTCCTTTGCTGAACATAGCATTGGTTGGATTTTCTTGGTGGGTTTGTAGATTGTTTGTATGTTGTGTTTCCTCATCAGCTTCCCTCTGCGGTCAGTGGTTCCCTTGATGTATGGCAGGAACACTTTTCCTCTGGGTGAGTCTCTGTTTTGACTTATTATTAAAAAACTCTAAAATTACAACAGCAAAACAGCAGAGAGGAAACAACCAGGCACATCTTAACACCTCTCAACAGAACATTTTCCCAGGCTCAGCCAGGCCTTCAAATGCTAATGAAGGTGGTCAGCTGAAACATTCACACCTAGCTCCAGCAGAGAAGAGCTCTTTGCCCCACCCCAGCCATTCCACAGATATATAAACCCATTGTCCTATTTCCAACAGACCTCTGAGGATGCTTGCCATAGATGCAGGCGAAACGTCAGGAGAAATGCCTCTAGAACATGGCCCTATAGCCCGAAAAAACCCACAAGAACCTGGTGATTCCAGCCATGAAAGCCTTCGACAATAATAATATACTTGAGGTTGGGAAACTACTGCTTAGGGCAACTCTTTGAATCCCACAGCCTTCATAGTTGAGAAAGAAGGAACTTTTCCAGGCTCAGGTTATAGGGCATGCCAGCCTTCCCCAAATAGATGCCATTCTATGCTCTGAACCATAGTTCCCACATTGGATGGCCATGCAAGCTGAAGATGCTGCTTGGTCTGAATTGAAGGGATTTCTGACAACGCAAGATGACCACATACATTTTCATTGAATCCCAGGTTTGGGGGAAGATGAGTTGTAAACCAAGTAAACTGCAAATACAGGCAGTCCCTGAGTTACACATTTGACTTACAAATGACTCCTAGTTAAGAACGGAGGTGAGACAACAGGAAGTGAGAGAAATCTTCCCCTGGGAGGGGAAATTCACTCCTGAAAGAGTTATCATGGGGGAAAGGTGTCTCTACTAAAACTTTCTCACCTAACCTTGTTTCCACAACAAGCCAAATTTTGCAAATTATCAGAGAGAATGGGATATAAATACAGTGGAAATCATCCAAACTTACAAGCATTTTGAGTTAAGTGCCATCATTCGGCCTGAGTGTCCCAACTTAACAGTGTTTTTAGTTAAGAGCTAGGGCCAGGGGAAAATCTAGCATGAGAGTCTAGGGCTTTAGGGCTTCAAGGGAGCAGCCTTCAGGCCTTGTGCTCTCGTCTGCTTTAGAAGACAGATTGCTGTCTGCTTTGCTCTTGTCCTCTTTGAGGAACTTTGGGTCAGTGGATTTTACGTGGTTTTTGTTCCCGGTATGTTTAGCTTTTTGAAGGGAGTGAGAGAGAGAGACAACAAGAGAGGGAGGGAGGCTGGAAGGAGGACAGGAGGAAGAAGAAAATTATGCTTTTGCCTCTTCACTTGATGCTGCTTTGTGCTTCCTTGCCATCACTTTGTACTTCTACCGTTTTAAAGTTGATCCTTCGTGTGACGGCGCGAGTGGTGCCACCTATGTGTAGAACTGTTAGTTGCAAGATTTAAACTGTTGTATCATGCTTAATCCTGCCTTTTTACCCTGTGTATGTATAGTTGGATTGATTGGTTATTTATAGCTGTCAATCAATGTTGTTTGCACCAGTTGAATTGCTCCTCCTGCTCAGTTGTTTGACCCCACCTCTTCCTAGAGAGCAGGACAGTGTTTCCTTTTCCATTCCACCATCAAACTTTCTATCAGATAGACGCGAGAGGGGGACTTGGCTCTGAAGCCCTTGATTAAGTTACCTCTCAGCACCAATTCTGAGACTTATGCTTCATGTTCAGATCAACCTGGACGATGTTGAGAAGTCTCAAGTGCCTTCAAACCAGTTCTTTGGCACCAGAGGAAGGCTTTGTGCCTTCAAAATATAGGCCATTGGAATTGGGGTTGTGATTATTCCGATATTCACAGCCATTGAGAAAGAGGGACCTGGAAAAGCTTCTCAGCTGCAAAACTCCTTGGACCCAAGACAACCAGAGACTGTAATGTATATTTTCCTTTACCCCTTTGAAATTGCTTTCTCAAGCTCAATTGTTTGGCTCCACCTCTTCCTGGAGGAGGGAAGTGCTTCCCTCTTTTTTTCATTCTGCCATCAGAGTTTCTATCGGATGGACGTGAGTAAGAGACTTGGCTCTAAAAGCCCCTGCTTAAATTACCTCTCAGCACCAATTCTAAGGTTTTTTACCCTTGGGACTCATGCTTTATGTCCAGATCGTCCTGGACAACACTGAGGAGACCCAAGCGCCTTCAAACCGATTCTTTTGGCACCAAGAGGAAGGTCTTGTCCCTTCAACATAGGCTATTGGACTGGGGTTGTGTTTATTCCGATATTCACAGCCATTGAGGAAAGAGGAAACAGGAAAAGCTTCTCAGCTGCAAACTCCTTGGACTTCAGAGATTGTAAAGTATATTTCCTTTATCCCTGTTGAAACATCAAGCTTATGCCTGAGAAAGAGAACTCATTGTGAACAATAAATACCATTTCGAGTTATCTGTTGTGTTTTGGTCTTTGGGAGTTCCAGTTTCCTATAGGAGGGCAAGAAGCAATCCCCTGGGGAAAGATGCCACGTCCATGCCTCTCTCATTAAGAGTTATAGCCCCCAGGTGCGACGGCACACTTCGTTTGTTATTGTTCCATGTGTATTTGCATTTATACATATTTTTTAAAGTGCATTTTCTTATT